ATGTTCCTCCAACTTGCATTCTTGCTGGGGCCATTTCAGGTTTAACTAGAATTTGATCTCCTTGATGGAAAATGCCATGGGAAAAAAAAAAAATTACCCAACTCTGTTCTAGAAACCCAAGGTCAAGAAGCCCTAACTAACTTATCTTGGCATCTGCTAAACTGCCTGTGCTGTGTGTGCCCCTCCAGTGAGCTGCTTGTCTTAGCTTCTGGTAACCTCGCTTCTGGGAAGCCTCCTGGCAGCTGCTCAGCAAAACGCCAGGATGTGGTTTCTGCCCTCAAAACTTCTATGCTCTGGATATTTGAGGCCATGCCTAGGTCCCCAAATACTTGAGTATAGTCCCAGACAGCTGGAATACAGATTTTCAGTTAGCTAACACTGTGTCTGAGTGGTCCTCTCTGGTGGGCTAACCATAACAGCATCCCTGGCCAACATCTTTAGAAGCAAATATGGACACTCCTTTCCCTAAAAGAAGATACATGATGGCTGATAAAATACAAAACCTACCCTGGAAACCTATAACATGAATGCTTTTATACCATTATAAATAAATAAAATCAGGTATATTCATATTTTTCAAATGTTTTCAAGGACCATAAAGTCTTTTTATTTTTTTTTAGTTTTTATTTGTATTTTTTCACAATTTATTCATTATGTATCCCAATTGAAGCCCCCTTTCTCAACTCCTCCCAATACCACCCTTCCTCCCTCTTCCCCCCCATTCTCTTCCCCTAGTCCATTGAAAGGGGAAGGAAGTTCTCCTCCTTTGCCATCTGCCCATAGCTTATCAAGTCTCATCAGGACTGCCTGATCCTCTTCCTCTGTTGCCTGCTAAGGCCGCATCACCAGGGGCAAGTGATCAAAGAGCAGGCATGTTCTTGACAAGACAGCCCCTGTTCCTCTTACCCGGGAATCCCAATGGAGCCTGAGCTGCCAATTGGCTACATCTGAGCAGTGGGTCTAGGCCCTTGGTTAGTGCATCTGTTTCTGCAGGACCCCCTAGGCTTTCTAAAGAAACTAAGGAGGACCCTAGGGAGGATGCGTAAATCTCATTCAGAATGGCAAACAGGATAGACACCAGAATCGGTGGAAGAGTGGAAACAGAATGGGGACCATAGAGTCTTGAAACATGTGTGTGTGTGTGTGTGTGTGTGTGTGTGTGTGTGTGTGTGTGTAAAATGATCATCATAAGTAGTAATTTTAAGGCTCATTTGTTTGGCTTCATAACAATTTTACATAGCACTCTGTCATGGCTTTGCAACAAATTTGGCCTTAAACACATGCCTGCTTTCAAGACCAGTGGGCAGCACCTGTGAGAGTCAAGGACCCTAGGCAAACAGATGGAGAATCACACAAGGAGGAAACGCCATTAACTATGGAAGAGGGTTACAAAGAGAACACCCAGCTGGGGACAGCTGAGATCACTTCTCCACAGCCCCCTCAGCAGGTGCCTGACAGCACCTGGGAGGAGGTTTCTATCACCTTAAAGCCATCCCTTGCAGCTTCTACCGAAAGGAAAAACAGCAGTTATAAAACTGCTGATTTGAAAATAATGACTATGCTCTTCCTGTGGGTGTTTGGGCTGAGTTGCTAAGAACTTCTCACAAGTTATCATAAGGCAGAGATGACACAGAAATTGGGAAGCTAGCTTGCTTTTATACTTCTTACCCCAAGGCAAAGCTTGGTGCAATGAATTAGTTCTTATTAAAAGAATCAATAATCATCTTGGGGTCATTATTATCTTTTTGGTTTGTTCTATGGTTTAGAAACAACCAGCAAAGGGCAGGAGCACTCACTGGACCCACTTGACAGCTCACAACTACCCCTAACTCCAGTTCCGGGATCCTATGCTCTCTTCTGACCTCCACAGGTACCAGGTTCGTGTACAAGGTTCTCTCTCTCTCTCTCTCTTACACACATACACTTACACAAGTACAAAAGCAAAACACTCATATATATTAAACAAGTAAATATAAAAACTTTTTAAATTTTAAATAAAAAATCACACACATACACACACACAGGTATGCTCTCAAACCCAGACAAATAGCTAACTGAGATGCCTTTTAACATATCAAAACTGCTGCTGGCCACCAGGTTCTCCCAGCAACCCTCAGTCCCTACCTATTACAGGGTGCTCCTGGCTGGCATCTCCCCACCCCCTACCCTGAACTCTCCAGCCCAGGGCTGGGCTGCCCCTTCCCAAGCTGCTCTTCCCTATGTAATCCAGCCTTTGGGCTCTGCTGGTCCTTATTTTGATCCCTTCTGCTGTCTTGGCCAGTCTCTTGGGCCCGGCCACCCCTCCTGGTTGGCAGCTCCTCTCTTGCTCGCCCTCTCCATCCCTCCCATGTGGCCTGGCTCAGTCTGGCTTTGTCCACTCTAGACTCCCCAGATGTCTCTGTCTTTGCCCCTTTCATGTATTCTTCCTCACATTTTCAATAAACTTTCTCCTCCGCCATACCTAGGAGCAGTCATGTCCTCTTTTATATTTCTTTTATTTTTCATTTAATTATATTGCTAGATCAGTAAAACATTGAACTTCAAAGGCCTTTCAGAAACCTTTTGGATAAACAAAATGAGGCTTCTGTTCTTATACAATGCTCATCCTTCGCAGCATGAGCCACAGAATGTGGAGTGCAAAGAGCCACAGGCGAATACACACAGAATTAGTCAATACTCAGGGGGTGCTGAGCAAAGAGATGGGGACCAGGGAAAATCAATGCAGAAATTCAAAAGTAGCTTCCTAAGTCTCGGGGTGGGCGTATGGGCGTGCACGCATTCACTTGCACCCTGACAGTGCTCTGTGGACGCACGGAAAAGGCAATGGCTTAATTTGCTGGTTTTCTTTTTTTTTTTTTTTTTTTTTTTTTTTCTTTTTCTCCAGAATCTGACTTTCCCCATGGTCCAAAGCTAAGAGCAGAACTGCACCAATTCACACCCAATTTAGTGTTACGATCTAGGTCAGGAAACACGGCTCCCATCTCCAATTAAACGTATTGACTTTGTAACAATTGGCAATTATGATTTTCTGCATATCCAAAGTCCTTGGGTTCTTTATTTGTTGTTAGTGGCAATTGCAGAACAATGGGAGCTTTTCTTCATAAAATGGGATGCTCAGAAATCTTTTCTTTAGAACTCGCTCTTTCTCAGCTCAAGGAAGAGAGACATAGCATGAGGCAGAACTTTACACTGCAAACTCTGCTTCAAGCATAGTGCTGCAGTGTGCAAACACCGACTTCTGTATTCCATCTTCACCCCTACAGCCACAGCCCAGTCCTCACAAGAGAGCTGAAGACACCGGGGCTGTGTGCTCTCCTGGAGTACAAACAGTGTCTCAGGTAGAAGGTAGCCACTATCAGCACAGCTAATGGGAGTTCATCAAAGAGTTTCCAAGGTGGGAGGATTGAAGTCAGGAGGGAGAGGAATGCCTGGGGGAGGGAGCCTGGAAGAGTATTGGTCTAAGAGCTACAGAGAGCAGAAACTGGGAGGTTTAACATCTCTCTGCAGAGATATGCAAAGATGATCTGATGACGACAGTTATTAGTCAGCTTTCCATGCTAACTTCCAAGATGTCTCTAGGTCCCCATAACAGTTCTAGAGACAAGTCTCAGAGACAAGACGGTCTCTGGACTCTGTGAGGCACAAGGATTGCATCTTCACACATCTTCTAAGCATGGATCTGCCTTCAGTGCTTGTGAAAGGGATAGAATAACCCCCTAGTGTTTGACATTTAATCCCAGAGATTAACTGTCTCTTCCCTCTATCGGCAGCCAGTGGGGTCGTTCTAAAGTACAACCTGTGCCGGCTCATGTGTCATCCCAGTGCTCCAGAAGTGGAGGCAGGAGACCCACTCTACCACTCCAGAAATGTCAGTAAATTAATTAGATTAAAATTCACAGATACTGCTGGGCAGCGGTGGTGCTCACCTGTAATCCCAGCACTCGGGAGGCAGAGGCAGGTGGATCTCTGTGAGTTCAAGACCAGCCTGGTCTTCAAAGTGAGTTCCATGACAACTAAAGCTACACACACACACAAACCCTGTCTTGAAAAACAAAACAAAAAAATTAAAAATTTAAAAGTGCAACTTCCGCATCTCATGCACTTAAAACTCAACTACTACTCCCCACTGTGTGGGTAAATCTCAAACTGTTTGGAACAGAATGTGTAAGGCTTTGGGAAATGTGCCCATCATTTCCTCCCCAGAGTCATCGACTGTGGCACTCTGCCATGTTAAACTAATCCTACTTCCCTCAACTCCCCGTGCTCACTCAGATTTTCCCGAGACACTGTCTCCTCGCAGAGATTGCTGTGCTAAGTTTGCCTCTTGCTGTGTCTCTCTACCTTGAGCTGAGAAAGAGAGAGAGCTGAAGAAGAGGTTTCTGTGTATCCAGTTCCGTGAAGAGGAGCTCTCAGTGTTCCGTGATTATCAAAAGCTGCAGCCACCCTCCCAGAGTTAAACCTGGCCGTCCGCAATGGAAAGCTTTTCGTAGCTCCCTCTCCATGGGCACGTATACATAATCATCTGCATCTATCTATCCAGAGGCATTTTATAAGCCTATGTGAATTTAGCCACATGCCGCTTCTGTACCACATTAGAATGTAAACTTGAAAACTGTTTTCATACATTCTGTATGTCAGTATAATGTGTCTTTATGGTTTACATTAATCAGTAGCAACCTGTTTTCTGTTTATTGGGAGTAATTTTTAAAGAACGGTGGTGATTTTAGCTTCTGTTGGTCAATGAGCATGTCATGTATGCATTTTTATTGTCATCCCACAGTTGAATATAAAGTCTGCCCAGTTATGAGAAAGCATGCCAGCCTAAGGAACATCATTTCACCACAGGTCTGGGCAGACCGAGTTGGCCAATGGTAGGCCATGCTGGGAACCAGATCACAGAGGGTGCAGGAGTGTGCTCTTGATTATTGTGGCTCTGCGTGGCATCCCTTCTCCACCTCAACACTGTGACAACGGGACCTCAAATGGAGGGCTCCTCTTACCTCAACGTCAAAGCGCGGGTCTTGGTAGGCATCGCTGACGTTCACAGGAAGGCCCGTCGAAGCAACCAGTTCGGCAATGCTGTTGTTTATCAGCCAATCAGAGTAAGATGATTTCTCCATGCTTTCCTTGAAACTGTTGGAGCACCAAGCCAGCCATAAGAAAGAAGAGAAACTAAGTTTGTTGGAAAGTAAGCTCTGTAAGACTATATTAATAGCAACAGTACCTGCCCTCATTATGGAGGGGTGAATGGTATTAGTCATAGAATGACAGGGAGGTAATTATCAGAAGCCACTTTGGAACCAGCTCCCCACTAGAATGGAAGGTAATCAGACTGGGAAACACAGATCTTCTTCGAGCCAGAGAGTAATTCTAGGCTGTGTTTAAGCCCCAGGGTAGAAAGCACACAACCAGGTAAAGACCAAAACTGACAACAGGATATCATCATGGCCTCGTACATTTCCGCTGAGTTCCTCTGCTTGACACCTTGGTTGAACATACCAGAATTGTTAGTACCAAGAATGAGGGGAAACTGGGAAATAAAAGTTAGATGTTTTTGGTGTGGGAATGGAACACTAGGCCATATGCATGCTAAGCCAGTGAGCTATCATTAAGCTGTATTTCCAGTGATGACATAGTCCTATTGGTGTTCTGAGTCTAAGCTACATTTTATGTAAGAAAATACTGAGTCGTTGCTATTACACTGTTTGTACCCATTCTTACATAGTTGTCCTTATACGGTATGCACCGGTTTGGAGTCCACAGCACACTGAGGAGGGCAGGAGCTGTCATGGAGACCACCAGTGCATGAACGAGTAGAAGGGGTAGATATTATGTTCATCATCTCTACATCACGTCTGTAGAGACCAGTGCTCTCTGACTGGTACACTCAGGATACATTTGTGGTGTTAATCATCTCTCAATGCATAGAATACATGGGTACCACACAAGCTTACTCTCTGTAGTCTCTACCTGCAAATGGAAGTTTTAATCAGAGGCTCCCTTTTACAGCTCTTAAGAGGTATATAAATCAAAGAGATACAAAGACTGAGAACTTCAAAGAAAACTTGCTTTGTTTTCTAATACAAATAACAAAGTTGGTGTTCTGTTTTCTCCTTGCTACTCTGTGTCTATGTTACTCTTTAAGGAAAGTAACATAGAGGAAGAAACATGGTAATGTGCCTAATATGTGGACCTAGGCTAACAAAATCATTTCTAAATGTATAAAAACACGTGGACCGAATTCTTGATGCTCTTTCAAAGATGCATTCTGTGGTGTCTGTACGCTGTTTTACAGTACATTTATTTTGTGTATATGTGTGTATATATACATATATTTACGTGTGTGTGTATGTGTGTGTGTGTGTGTGTGTGTGTGTGTGTGTGTGTGTGTGTGTAGGCCAAAGGTTGATGTCAGGTGCTTTCATTGATCATTCTTCATTTTATTTTTTGAGGGTCTCTCA